TTGGTCTACCTATCCTAGATATTCACTCTGTGTATGACATCAATCACCTGGGTATAATCCCTCTGACAGAATGGGGGAAACATGATAAATGTGAGCAACGAGTTCAATGAGTGAGTTAATAGCTTGACCTGACCTGATCTAGTTTAGGTACCTACCTAGATAATAAAGATGTTTTGTGTGACAGTTAGATAAATTGAGGGAATAAATATAATGGGTGACCAGTAGATTTTGGGTGCAATATCCTGTATGGTCCTAGGGTATAAGTATATGTCAACCCCTAAACTCGATTCTACATCGATACGCATGGCCTAGTTACCAGGTGGATATTTAATAATGGTATGAGAGATTTGCTATGCTATGCTACCCAGTTCCACATCTATATGCAAAACAATCAAGTTCCTATCTTCGTAAATGCTTAGCTTGGTATATGATACGACAAAGGGAAATCAACAATATCTCATATTCAAATGTAACCAACATATATCGGTTGTTATTTCCATTGAAACCACTTTCTGTTACGTGGTTTCATAATAGACTTCAAGGCCGACTTAGGCTTAGCCGCTGGTTTCCCCGGTGTGAAAATAGGGTATTGAGGCTGAAGTGGTTCCACGTCATATCCTTTCTCAGCAAACAGGCTCAGAAGTCTACCCCAACATAGATCTGACCACGGGGGTGGTTTCCCGCCTCCATTAAGCAACATACAAGCCACCTGATAGGAGTCTGGCACACTTCTAGTGTGGTTCCCATGGAGATAAATCATCATCCTCGTCACGGGCGAGACATTGCAGCAGAGTCGCTCTAAGGGTGTTTTCCCATCGGAGTCCTTGGAGTTGGGGTCAGCACTGTGGAAAAGTAGCGACGGTACGATCTCTGGAGGCGCGAGATGGAGCGCCGTGCAAGTCAAAGGAGCGCGTTTATGCCCCCTTTCTGATAACTCGTAAATAGTCAACGGCATATTTGGATCGTGGCCGGTTTCGAGGAAATGAATGACGAGATCGATGGACTGACGCCGACTTGTATAGTTAGAAGGAGACATAGCTAAGAAGGATATCAGTTTACCAAACGCCTTCGGATCCTTATATCCGTTGTCCAGCATTAATCGGGAAATTTTTGAGCCCTCTACAATATTGAGGTGTCTACTCGCGACGTGATCGCTGTTTATAGGCGAAAGTCCAAGTGCAAGCGTAAGTAACGATTTTTTCTTATCTTGGTTGCATTTTTGCACAAAATCCTGATCCAGTTGTAATGTCTCCCGAAAATAAAGACTAAATCCTGCCAACGAGGCAAATTCTATGGGAGTGCATATCTCGACACTGCTGGTGGCCTGTATGAGCTGAGCGTATCTCTTCGCCGGGATACTATCAAGAAATTCCTTCATGCTGCAGCCCGTAGAGTCTTCTGCCATTCTCCCATATATTGCTGCCTGCTTCGTCTTTTCGTGCATAACCGTATAATCGTCACTAGCAGGCATAGTATCCAATTCGGTCTCGTTAGAAGAATAACCCTTGTAATCTGAATTATTTCCATCCATAGTGTCATAATATATTTCAGATCTAGGCCGTCTAACTAGTATGCTTTTATGACCTTCTGTAATATTTTCACTAGATTTTTGAAAAGCTTGGTGGTCAAGTAAGAACCACTTCGATAAGAATGAGTATCCATTTTCGAATGTTACCTTTGCTTCAGTGTCAAGAATGAGAGCATTGAACTTTGGTTGGTTAACGAACTCTTTCACAGTCTGGTGTAAAAGCTCAACGGAAGTCAAGCGTAGTTCCATGAGACCTTGAGAATGTATCTTGATTTGGTTTAAGGCATAAGCCTCGCGCTCCTCTACCTTTAGTAGTAGAAATCGCTTTGATATTAATAGCGCTTCCTGATAATGCGATGATTGCGAGCACTCAACAGCACCGATGAGATCTGACCCTCCTACAGGATCTAAAGCCTGAGAAGTAATTTTTAGCATGGCGAAAAGAGTCCAGCGGGATGATATTGGTGTTCTTTGAACTATTTCTGCGTAGTACTCATCGAGTTCCGCCGGTAGAGACTGCAGTAGCTCCTCCAATTCTTCCTTAGTTGATCCCGAATTGGCGGCTCTAGCAAGATCTGCTGCTACTAATTTCACCCATAGGAAGACGCCTTTTGAGCGATCGACAATTTGTGGTACTAGGATTGCCATCGGGATAGACACCTCAGAGGATAGCTCGGAATCCATAACACCTAGGCAGTAGCGGCGTATATCCTGCTTAGTAAAGTCTTGCATTGTGAGGCTAGGGTAATCTTTGAAGCAGGTAGTAAATGTAGCCCACGGTCGACTCGAAAAACATACTTTAACTCGAGTTAAGGATGTTGTTTCTCGATTGACGAGGCTCTCGATAAATCTAGCGATGAACTCGGGTCGTCCTTGGTATTCATCCAATGCATCCAGGAATAGGAATATGTCTAAGTTGAATTGTTGTTGATTTAAGATTAAATTAAAGGCCTCCTCTAATGTTGCAGAGGTCCAACCTTCGGTAGGAAGTTCCGCTGAAGAAAGGTCTTTCAAGAGCGGAAGGAGGACATGGCTGACCTTAGGCTTTTGTTCCAGAACTTGGCTAAGAATACCTCGCAAGAGCCCATCAAAAGACTTCTCTATTAGTGATCCACGGTAGTGAAAGAAAAACCCTGCATAAATTTCGTCGTATGAGTTGCGAATATCGTGAAGAAGTTCGCGAGTTCTACGATCTTCAAAAATATATTTCATTACAGTAGACTTCCCTAAGTTGTAGCATATTAGTAACTGATAAATTTCATAACGTCACCGGTGATAGAATAATGAATAGGTAGCAAGGCTGTTATTGTCGCAAGATGGATATTGTTCCTTTTTTCTTCTTTTTTTTTTTACTTACCTGAACCAGGACTGCCATTGATCCAAAATGCCCCCTTTCCATGCTGTAACCAGTCGACGAATTGACATCTTGGATGATTAAATATCCAATCGAATGTGTCTCGAAAGTTTGATGCAATTCCCTCTAGTCGCCGATCACGTTCAGGTGCTCGAAGAGACTTGAGCAATTCTAATATGCAGTTAGAAAAACACAGGATGACTTCAATATTCTGTGCTTACTCTTGAGAGTCTTCTTTTGGTCTTGTTCGTTTAAGAGACATTTTTTAACTTTAGACCCTTCGGATGCCATAAAGGCGTCACGGCCCTGCACTCGAGATCTAATAAATTCAGGGGTTGCTTTCTTTGAATAATTTCCATCGATATCCATTAGGATAGTACCGGCAGGTTCAATGTTACAAATTCGAGCAAGTCTTCCTACAACAACGCTATAATCTTCGTGACCTGGACGGAACTTGACTATATTCGAATGGTTTTCGTTAAGAGGAAATGTTAAGCTTTCATCTGACTCGAGTAAACCTCGGGTGGCCGATTGGGGGGTTACAAGAACAACATGAGGACCGTCTGAAAGCTGCCCATTTTCATTTGCCTATTCGATATGAGTTAACCGTACTTTGAGAATACTCGACGTAGTTTACTCACAACCAATGTTGGGGATGTGCAAGTTTCATAACCCCAAAAAGTATTCATCTTTCTCAGATATGAGATGCCGTTAAATTCCGATTCCAAGCGCCTTAGCCAAGGCGAATCTGGGGATAAGTCTTCGACAAGAGGCTCATTGGGGTTTCCACTAGCAATCGACCGAAATGACGACTGATCCATGCCAAAATTTGGTACTCCAAAAAAGACTCCCCCGGCGATCCGAATAGCATCTTCATCATAGCCACTATTAGCCAAGGCTACAATAGCACGCTTTAGCACAAGCCCACCTAGGCTATGGGCAAGGAACACTATAGGCTTTGCACTTAAGGCGGTCCATCCGTTTGATACCAGTTGATTGATTAACTGAGAAGCCAGATCAGTAATCGTTTGGAATGATCTGCTCCCAGGTAAAACTGTCTCGTAACCGTATATAATGGGCCTAAGCTGGGGAAGATCAAGAGGCAATTCATCTCTAATCCACATAAATGTCTTATCACTCTTCTTAGGTTGCCATGAACCAAAAGGATGACTTGAAAGCCCCGAAAGGGAGATGCAGCTATTCGAGTTACTATTAATAGCAATCAAGATCTGAATAAGATGGACTCACTCATAACTATGTTCAGAGGTGGGATCGCGGAGTGGAGTAAGTCCACGAAAATGGGTATCTAGTATTAAAGGTGTTTGGAGCCCATTCACCCTAATCTGCCATTCGTCTCTCCTATGGTCTCGTTGGAGCAAGGTAGGAAGCGGGTTAAACATAAGCGTAGCCGTCTTGGTTGGACGCCAGGGGCTCAAACTCATGGCTAGAGAGAATATCCGAATGTTATCGACCGGTATACTGCCAAGACCAATGCTGAGATAGACAAGTGCTTGAGATTCGTTGGTATTACTGGGGAGTTGCCGTAATCTGAACACTTTGGGCTTTCGTGAGGAGTCCATGGTGTTGATTCGTTGATTAAGCATCGACAAGATTTATTGAACCCCTAAATACTCTCACGTCTGAAAATGGTGTATCATGCATCGTGATTCCAATACGTGACTTATTAGTCTAGGTAGTATAGACTATGACTCTCATTAAGTACCTATCTAGGTGTAGTTTAAATCAGATTGATGTCCTTAATTGATGCCAGACGGATGGAGTAAACCCGATGAGGTCACATGACCTTGAAGCTGACGAACTAAGTCGATGCTTCGTCGGGCCTCTAAATGTGAGATTACTAGGTACATGTATTTTAAGAAAACGGATGTACTTTGTATTTCTCCTGCTAGATGAATAATCCCAGTACTGGCTTAGCTTGGCTGCTAGATTAGGAAAATGCCGCGGTTACGGCCCCACCAATGTCATCCTCGGACAGGAGCTCAAGTGAATATAATCCCCTTTCAAGCCGAGAATAAATAGAAATAATAAACATCAAAGCTTCTCAAAAAGTAAAAGAAACCTCAACTTCCCTTAAAATAAAATAAACTATATTTAAACATGACGTCGAACGAGCTATTTCAAATTCCCATCCCGGCAATTAAGTCGCATCAGGGAGGCAGCATCGTCTGTACATCTCCAAAGCCTCAAGTCTATGTTCTCACATGGACCTCCCCTCCAGACAACAGGTTTACACCCGCCTTCAATACGGCGCTGATGACGGCGCTCGATACTATTGAATTCGGTCATCCACCAGGTGTTGTCATAACCACTTCATCTATTTCAAAGTTCTACTCCAATGGCCTCGATTTCCAGCTTGCTACATCGTTACCTGGATTCTGGGAGAACAGCCTGTACCCGTTATTTCGAAGGTTCTTAACTTATCCCATGCCCACGATCGCCTTGATCAACGGCCACGCCTTCGCCGGTGGGTTCATGCTATCTATGCACCACGACTACCGAATCTTCACAGGCTCAAAGGGCTACCTGTGCATCAACGAACTCGAATTCGGCGCGCCGTTACTACCACCCATGAGCTCCATTTTCAGGATTAAAACTACTCCCAATGTATATCGCAACATGGTTCTCGAGGCGCGACGCTTTGACGCCAAGGCTGCGCTAGAAGCCGGCCTGGTAGACGCCATTGGCGAGATGGACGCAGCTCTGAGCTTAATTCAGGAACGATCGCTGATCAAGAAAGGAGCCACCGGCGTCTACGGGCTGTTGAAAGCTGAGATGTATCGCGAGAGTGTAGCACTGTTAACTGCCACAGGCAAAGAGGCGGCCAAAACTATGGACATACAAGAAGCTGAGAAGAAAAGGAAAGAAGAGGGCGCAAAACGATTTAAGGAAGCACAAGGTAATAAGGCAAAATTATAAAGTCTCGATTACTTTGGTTGTGTTTTTCTAATTGCTAGTTTAGCGCTATGAGCGGCGTCGCATTTGAGGTTGTCGTTCACATGTTAAGAAGATTCATGGGCATATGTAGGTACCTACCTATATATTAAATATGTATTTAGGCGATACGCGACTGACGTCATTGGTGCGTTGAGAAGTCGATGTCCTTTAACTCATACGCGAATCTTTAAACAGACTTCATGTATTTAATTTATATCGTCCTGTACAACCAATTGATTATTTTAGTGACGGTCTCCTCCTTATTCAATAAACCACGTCTGGGACCAATTATGACTTTGACCCCAGATCTCGAAACTACTTCTCAGCATCCACTCTTTCGGTATAAATATCGTATCCTTATTGGGACCTATCTTGTCGCTACATCATTTTTGTTATATCGTGTCTACCGCCAACCATTCTCACAGGTAATCAAGTCCGAGCAGTATGAGACTATATTCAAGGGTACAACTCTGGCCGCTGTCATAGGAGGGGTTGCTATGAGTAGTACCGGAAGGGCAAAGTATCGGCAGTATAGGGAAGAGAGTTCTTCGACGACAGCAGGACGTCAGATGAATAAAAGAAGTTCATCGAAATAAAAATCTCTTTAATTGTTAGCTAGATACCTAGGCATATATCATAATAATTGTGTAATATGTTAGTGTATCTGATATCTCGTAAGCACTTACGCCCTGATATTAGGTACTAAGTAATCCCTTTACTTCTATATCAGTGATATATTAAGCTACCACCCTCGTCTCTTAGGCTTTCAAATGTCTGGGAACTTCAGGTTTATAAGTATGATGTACATATAAAAACTCCACCTGCTAGATACTCTTATATCCCACGATGTTCAGTAGACCGCGCAACAATTCTGCTATAGACATCGTCCCCTAATAATATTTCTTTCATGATAGTCGTGTTATTTTCAATGAACTTATAGTTACCCTCTTTACTAGATCAGGTCTGCGATTCATAGTGTCTGCTTTTTGATGCTCATCTTTCTGACTAACTCTACGTGATTGTATAGGATGTACAATAGGTTCGTTACGTACGAGTTGTTTGCCACGTCTGATATTGTCCTTCAGTACTAAAATTACCGCTGATGACTGATTATGCTCATAGATGGTGGCTTCGCTCTAAGATATATTGTATACTGGGTTGAAAAAACTCCTCTGATGGATCCAGATTTCTCGTTTCATAATAGAAGACTGCTAGACAGGACCATAATCCCAAAATACCACCCGAGAAATCATTATGGGTTGCGGATGTAAAGGGATAGTAACTAAGATCAGAGGATGGAAATACCCGGGCTTCCTCGTACCCACCGGGGTCCCAGTAACAGAGTCTCGACCTATATCTACCTAAAGCGCTATACTTAGCAGTTTAGCTTTTTTAATGGTATTATTTATCATTTCTTTAGAAGCAAGGTTTTGAATATATCTTCACTACCTAGGTATGAATTGGGGTTACCTCATAATCTGTTCAAGAATGCTTAGGTACTAGGTAGCCATCCTAAGATAGCAATGTAGTCGAGAAGAAGCTATAGACGGTGTTTCTAGCAGTAATGCAATGCTTGATATTGTAGTTGATTTTAATATAAATGCATATAGGAACCTAACATCACTTTAGGTACCTAAACCTAAGATATGATATGTGTATCTTTTGGTGGTGGTACGAAAAAGAAATCTTTAGACCGCTTCGTATGTTACCTACGTGTTGTGTTGTACTACATTAGGTATTTTATTTCTATGCATGAAACAAACACATGTACAATGACCTGGTAAGCCCAACTAAAGGTCAAGGTGAGCGGTAATTGGCTATTTTCTTGTTATTGGGCATGCTGTCAATTGTCAATGCTGTCTTACCACCATTAACGATTGTGATATTCCTTGATGAATAGGTCGAATATGTTCCTGGAAGAATGTCATATAATTCTTAAAGGAACAGATTATCTACCACGTAAAATGAACTAAACTGACTATAACTAAGTGCGCACTTAGTTATTTGTCTGCGGGAGTGTCAATTGCCAATCAGAACATTAATTAATCGAAGTATTATAAGGTAGGTTTAAAGCAACAAACACCACGTGCTTCAAATATTGAAAGCCAACAAGCTGATAATGCTGAAAATAGCTGATGTAAACAGCCACATGATGCTACAATATTGTACAGTACACTAGATACGAAAGAGAGATCTTGATGGAGGGGCATTGCGTACTATCTATGTAGATGCTAATGTGCTGATTGGTAGGATTGTCAGGATTAACCGGAGTGGATTCGGGAACTACAGGGGCATAATAACTATCACTATCATCATCAGCTGCAAGTTCCAAGTTCCAAGTTCAGAGTCGGACTGGCAAACCCCACTAAACCCACCTTAAGCCAACTATATGCCGCCTAAACAAGCTCAAAGAAAGCCAAGTACGAAGGACCCACCGAAAAAGCAGTCGAAGCTACCCAAGCCTGCCAAGAAAGCCTAGCCATGGTAACACTTGCTGTATTAGGTACCTGAATACCTCCTAAAGTAATGGCATTGTTTATTGTCTCAGCCCCTCGCTACATAACTAAACCCTTTGGTTGCTATGGAACTTTTTAGACCAAACGAAACACAACTTTCTCATCTTTCCCTCATTTTCACGTTCGGGGTTTCCGACGCACACAGTCACTTACTACCGTAACTTATTCTCATTGTACAATACATTATTCGCAATTCTTATATTAGGCACTTCATTGTGACAGACAGACACCTGGCGTGTTCTATTATGTTACGACGTAAACGGAAATGCTACTTCAGATTTGTGCAATTTGTTGTCGCATTATAATCTATCATACCTCATAACCTTTCCTCTTTTTCCCTTCTTCTTACCACCCGATCCAAGTCTTGCATACAAATTACTTACGTCGTATGGTATCTCAACGTCAGCATGAAGCCCGGGCCAGGCCCTGATCAATTTAGGTAAGAATTCATTCAATTGAGTACTTTAGGAGTTCAATGAGGTGCGAATGCGGTGTGCGGTGTGATGTGTATTGCGTGGTGGACATGGCTTTGCTGTGCGCTGTACTGTGCTTTAGCATGCAGCCAGCTTCTTGAGCATTGGCCTGTTAGCACGGCCGTCAGCCCACACTCTAGGCGTATTTTGACTCATGTGTATTCGTATAATACCAAGATTTATCGAGTATGTAAAGTACTAGAATGTTATTAAGACTGACAATATTTTGTCTGGCAGATCATGACTGCCGTCAAATCTAACGATGAAGATGATCCGACAGATCCTCACCCTCCCCAAACTCCTCAGCCTAGTTCTGATGCTAGCAAATCTACCCCCGATATCACTTCGGGAACAACATCAACTCCTAAAGCATCATCACCTGTTAAAGATGCCACAACTCCTAAGGCTAAAGCGGCCTCTGGCCGCCCGCGGTCTGCTACAACGAAACCGGCCCCTACGCTCCTCGGCGATTTCCTGCTGGGTCGACCATCTCCAGCTCGAGTCGCAGCAGATCGACAAGCAGCAAAGGAAGCAGCACACGCGAGGCGGAAGAGCTTGGAGTTAGTAAAGCAAGAGATGCGCCAAGCAGCTATAATGCGAATCCAGGTTCCAGGAGGTGTGCATGAACGCGTTAAGAAATGGCAAAAAGCAAATGCTGCAGCAATGACCGATGCCGACCCTTTAGCTGCTCCGACAGAACCAAGCGAGGTGAATATCCAAGTAGATGAAGAAAGCGTAACTGAGGAAGACCGGGTGAGGATCAAGTCAGGACAGAAGAAACCGACAACAAAAGTTATCATCAATCATAGAACAGATGGCAATGAACCCAGGAAAAGTAACATAGAGGAATTGAAGCTTTCAAATGCGCCTAAAAAGCGAGTTGTTAGCGATACCAATTGGGTAAAGGATAAACAAAAGGCAGCATCAAGAAGCCAGTCACCAAAGGCAAAACCGAGCGAGACCACTGGGTCACCAATACCGAAAGACTTCTTGAAACGCCCGGCCTCTAATCCCTCTGTGTCTAAAAAGGTCAAGGATTGGGCTAGTAAAGTTGAGATTCCCGATGAACCGCCTGTCAAACGCCACAATGCACCAAGGTCGGTGAGATCAACAGGCAGTGGGGATGGAATTCGAGTCAGACCTATTCCATACGAGAGCGATAATGTGAGCGGGAGATCAGAGCCTACGCGTGTCACGGCCAAAACTAGTAGCTCGCGGAATTCGAAAGAGCCAGAAGGAGATGGTATTCGTGTTAAACCCATCCCAAGCGAAAAGGACACGACAAGTGGGATATCAGGATCTTATCTATCAGGATCTTATTTATCGGGATCCTATTTATCGGGGTCTTATCTCACGGGCTCTCATCTCACGGCGGAATCCTCCAAGTCTGGAAAGTCTAGCAATTATGAGGGCGATGGTATTCGCGTCCGGCCCATCGCAAGTGAAAGTGACGCTACAAGCGGCTTATCTAGTTCTATTTCAGTAGATACACCCACACCACGAAGGCCACAGGGACGAGAAAACCGTAACGCCCGGAGCAGGTCAACAAAGAAGCAAGCATATCAAGCTATGCGCTCGAAAGCTAATATACGATCCGCCCCCTCCGACTTACAAGGATCAGATGATGCTACTACAGTTCGAGCTTCTTCGAGGCATTCTTCAAAAGGACCAAGTACCCGTGGTGAGAGTTCTCATAGGGACCCGTCACCATCAGAACATGAAGAAGTAGTGGAAAAGCCTGGGTCTGAGAAACGTCGAACGTCTCCACGCAGAAACTCGAAAATGTCTGCCAGGAAACAACAGAAACAAGCCAAAACCCCTGCCAAGAAGGGCCATGCAGACACGGAAACTATAGCGACAGAAGAGGTATCCGATAGTGAGTCTTGGTCGAGCGACTCGGTATCAGAAATGCCATTTAGTACGTTGGCACAATCACTAGCAGAAATTCCTGTTGGATATTCTGCATTCAGCGAGCTTGACTTAGCTACAGGCTCAAGACGACGAAATACAAGGCCAAAAACCAAGAGGCAATCTAGTTTCAAGGGCGCTACTAACGTCCTGAAAAAGGCATTGACCGAGGGCAAGAAGATTCTCACGGAGAAGGTTGACCCTCCAAAACCTGTCATCAACCGCCCTCCAAACATTGAGACATGGCTAAAGGATACTGTTGACCCTTTCGTTGATCCTTCCATATCTAAACCGGAGCAGAACAAGAAAGTAGACGAAGATTTACAAGATGAAAGCACGGCACGACAATCTCCACCCTTAAAGCATAAATCTGTAGAGGTCAACAGCCCATCCGACGTTAGCATGAGTGAAGAATCGACAGAGCCAAAGGACATTGCAAAGCCAGACCACCATGAGCCTAGCAGAAGCGAAACTACAACTCCAGTTTCAGCTGGACTGAAGAGAAGTAGAGCTACTAGGCTCTCTTCGACTCCTTCGAAAAGTAGTATGAAGAAGGGTTTCAAGGAGAAGCTTATGGACGCATTTCGCGGTGAATCTACAGGCCATAGCCCTCCGCCTTTAGAATATCCAAGCTGCCCCGAAGTGGTGGACCTCGACAGAGAACGTGAAGATGAACACCACGAAAGGCGGCGTCCTTCCGGTGCGAAAAGAAGTCCATCCCCAGATGATTGTAGTTCATCAGTGTCTTCTGAAGCAACCCACCCAGAGCCGCTGGCTTATAACAAACGTAAGCCACCAACTAATGGCTTCCATGAGCTATCGACGATTATATCCGAGATGGAATCACATTATGGACTTCAATCAGATCTCTCGTCCGAAATATCGCAAAGCACAATAACTGAGAATCCTGGTTTGACAAGAAGTACGGCAGTGTCCCGTAGGAGAAGCCATAGGTCTGGCCTTAAGAGGCGACTTACAAAACACTCAGATTTAGTGTCGGCCTTATCTCTACCAGACGACAATTCGGTACCCAACAGAAGGATCAGCCGTCGCTCTGCACGCAGCATAAGAAGACCGTCTAGTCACCTTGGCGACGCTACTTTGGACGAACTTCTGCTTGAATTTGAAGACGATGAGGACCTTTACCAGCGGGAGTTAAAAACTCTTGTAGACGGAGTACTTCCGGTCCTTCTAACTCAATTTGTAAATAATACGAGCAGTGCACGCAAAGATTTATTTGGATCCCCACCTACTAAATACAAGGAGGATACATTAGACAAGGCTGTCATTAATATGGGTGTCGCCCTTGACAACCTCAGAAATTTGCACTGCCAGTGCCCCCCACTTTCTGACACTTACAGGCTTCCGCAGTGGCTTGAGGCAGTTCATCCTATTTATAACAATTACCTTGACGTATGGCGCCTTGGTTTCCAAGGCATCATCGTCAACTTGGCGCCTCGGTCGCCTGATGATGCCGACTCTCTTATAAATGCAATGCCTCGAAACGAGCAAGGAGATGTTCTCAATGAGGATGGGGACCGCATAGATGTAGCCCATCTGCTAAAACGCCCTCTAGTTCGCGTCAAATGGATTACTAAATTCATCAAGGTATGTTTATTGATCATCCCAGAGCGCTCAAGCTAAAATAAATTAGGGCTATCGCGCAATTACTGGTACAAGAGAATTCGAACCCCTCGTTTCCAAGTGGGAAGCGCTACAGGAGAAGGCGAGGCGACGGCATAAAGAAGAAAACGCAAGAGTTATCGATGATGATGCCAGAAACAGCGACACATCCCGAACCCGAGATCTTAAAACACTAGAAGCTCTTGATAATGTCAAAATCGATCGCTTTCGTCAGGTCTTCGCCAAAGATACCTTCACCTTGGACTTGCGACATTCGAATGGACAACGACTCGGGTGCCAAGTCGAGCTCATAATTCGAGACAACCAGACATTCAAGTCAGATCCGGGTGACCTCCTAATCAGAGAGACTGGCAGTGCAGGGCGTTCGTGGCTTCTATTTGCCCCCATTGTCGGTGGTCGTTTTTCTGCTCGAAGGGGAGATGATAGGTGCGAATTAATTGTTATGATCAGGGGTTACAGGGAAGAATGGTTTGAACTGCTATCGTTAACAGCAGACAGCCAAGAACAAGTTCTGGAATGGTTGGAGATGCTAGGATCTACCCCCATCCCCCCTCCAATTGAAGGACCAATGCCTTCAACAGCACAATCACTAGCTCCATCGCCAAGATTGGCGGCTGGCGAGACTCCTATGGGCGAGAGGAGGTTTCGTCAGACTTCTAGAATCTCTTCGGCGTCAACTGGATCTAAGAATCATCCCGAAAGTGAACCAACAAACCCCGAACGTACTCGCAAGGAAACTGGTAGCCCCCATAATACACCGACTTCTCCTAGAACCGAAGGTTCGACTTCTTCTCCCGAGGGAACTCCAACCCAGGATTCGTTTTCAAGGTCTAAGCATGCGAACGAAGACTATTCAAGCTCATCACCAAACAACAATACCTATCGTGAAGATGGTGCGCCTCCTCCCCCAGTCCATCGGACTTTCAGCTCCAAAAAGGCACCAGTACTTTCACCTCCGGCTGAACAAGCCGCATCACGTCTCAAGCGTCGCACTTCTTCACCTCTCAAGCATGAATACCACCCATCAGATATATCCTCCGAAGGCTCCACATCGCCAATGTCTACATCAGAAGATGGTACCATCTCCGAGGAGTCTTCCGATGATGAGCTTGAGGCGGTTGATATGCCGGATACCACGCCCGCTATTAGCATCAGGAAAAATAACAACAACCCCACGGATTCGATAGGCTCGGAAAGCACTGTCACCCTTTCCTCTCCTATCTCACTCTCACAGACCGGATTGCCCAAATCAGAAAGCAAGCAACCGGAATACGTCATCAAGTCCATCGCTTCTATTTCTTATTGGGATAATAAGCATGGACGCTGGCAAGATCTTTGGCCTGATCTCTGCTCTATTGTCACGACTCCAGGCCTTATTGAGGCGTACCCGTATCAAAGAGCACACCAATCTTCCAATAGCCCGACGCAAGAGCGACCCCTGATTGCTCTAGACCTTACGCCTCTGGTTATGCTACGAAACAGCACAGTTGTCGATTTGGAAATACGATCTCCCGTTCTCAGCTATTCCAGGCTCTATGCTAAGGTGCTCAAAATCGATACATCATTCTTCCGCTTCCGAGTTCAGACCACTACAGAGTGCGAGTCCCTCTACATGGCAGTTCACCGAGCTCGCATGGATAACGCGAAATACAAGGCGCTCGAGGAGGAAACACGCGTTAGGGCCTTCGGCCAATATCAAAACCCAGAGGTAGAGACGGACGGAAATAGTCAGCGCCGTAGCTGGTTTGGGCGAAAGAATAGTTATCGCGCGTCGACCCGAGCTCCTTCGCAGTCTGCGGGTAGCATATCTCAGTCTTCAGGCGTCTCTGCCACTTCATTCTTAAGAAAGCTGATGGGCGGTGGCAATCAGTCATTCAATATCGCAATGTCCTCCGTCGACAGGCCACACCGCTTTAGCGGTGGAGACGCATCATTATATACCTCATCATCATCGGGCACACCACCCCGCTCCCCCTCTATCAGCATCGCGAATAGTGGCAATACTAAGGTGGATCTCACCACAAATAACCTCAAGATTCGCCTTCATCTATTAGTATCGGCCAGCAAGTGGGAAGATCACGGCAACTGTCTCCTTGAAGTAACAAGACCTGACCGAGGCACTAGGCAGAACTTGAGGAAATATCAAGGAATGGAGAAGCGAATCGTAGTCACGACAATCCCTAAGAAGGATGCGGATAAGCCGGTGGTAGTTCTAGATGTCATACTTGGCAGCCAGTGCTTTAGCCAGCTGGGTAGCAGAGGCGTCCTCATCAATGTCTGGGAGGAAGTAAAGGACGAGAGTGGACAGGCAGGAGTTGTGCCTCAAGGGGGTAACAGCGGAGGAAATGTACGGAAGTGGTGTTTCCAGTGTTCGTCGGTTTCACAAGCAAGGTGGATTTTCGGACTTGTTACGCAAGAAGTGGTAATTGGTTGATTATTGGTTGATACCCCTTTCATATGTATGAGGCTATAACGCCGTCACCTGCGCACATTTTCTTTTTTAAATCTGATCAACAAACCTTTTCGGTCAACACAAATTTTCAACTTTACGAGAGACAAGGCGAGGCGTCGGACACATTGCATTAAATGTCTGGGGGGCAGACAGGACGGACAGAGCATAAATATGAGGACGATGGTACGGCCATATGCATGGATGGTGTGGGTGGCTTGTTGCATTTTGTTTCGTCCCCTCCCGTCACCTTTTTACCCTTTGGCCGGATATATTGTGTAAGATAGGCTATGTACACAACACTCCAAGATACCTAATACTGAAGTCACTGAAGTCACTGAAGTCATTCAATTGTATCTTGTACCTCTTTACTCGACCAGAAACGTCATGTATTTTCGATGCCCATGACTAACCTCACGTTCTCAGTTTTGTCGCAGTAGGGTATTGCAGAGGTTCTCGTAAATAGCACATTTCAATCAGTCCATTCAGTACCACTGTAGCACATCAGGTTAACGAATATTATAGAGAAATAAAACTTGCTATAATAAACATACCACAATTCCATTTTCTAGTCCGACAAGCTTCTCTCCACTTTCCAACTTCCCGAGACAAGCACGGATGCGTTGGACGAGCTGGGCGGCGTACTCGGGGGACGGAGGCTTCGGCGTGGGTATGCTAGTGTCGTTACGCAATAGCACAGGAGCAGGGACGGCGGAGTCGGGTGGCATGTTCCCGTCGATGGCGGCCTTGACGTCGGCTACGTCGTCAGCACTCCAGGCTGCGCCCATGATCACCGCGTAGGGTATTGTGGAGTACGAGCCGGTTCCGATGGTACTGCTTTGGTTTGGGGGCGCGGTGCCGCGGAGGACTGGGGGGGTGGGTGTTAGTTAACTTGTTTGGTGTTTTTATAAGTTTGGGATGATTATAATTGGTAGCGTAGGTAGGTATATGAAGTATAGAGTCGGAATCATGGATGCTACCTACTGAAAGGTAGTTCGGCGGCTGTTGGTTTGCTGCCGAGGCAGAAGAGGATTACTAGATGGTAGTATACGTGTTAGTATATTTATATAGTATCTTATCGACATCTCATTCAGACCATAAGCCTCCCAGACTGTCCGATCTTTGCAGCTTACTTACCTTCATACTGGGGCTTTAGGCCTTCAACGACCATTTTTCCGACTACTTCCGCCTTACCGCAGACGACAATAGGAATAGGTCTAGATAAACCGGCCATAGTGCAAAGGTATATGTATGAAAGGTTCAATGTTATAGTCAAAAGTCGGTCGAAGTGGTGGATCTCACGATAGAATCGAGAACGGCCCTCATCATTATATCAGTTCCATTCGAGGCTGAATCAACAAGTCACGTTTACAACAGGGGTTATTACCTTGGGAATCGGCCGATGCTAAGATCTTAGACAGCTTAGCTCCCGTGTCTATGTACGTATGTCGGTCCCGAGCGAACCAAAGGTGCAACTACCATTTACGGCAAGGGAATGCGATGCTAATTGGTAGAATCGGCGGGCTTAGGTTACAGTCCTGTACATAAAATGCAAGGGTCGTGCAAAAGATCCCTTAAGATTTCCTAGATCCGGAGTGCGCAAGCATTATCTATTGGTCCTTGCCGTTTGGGTCCTTGCCGCTTGTAGAACCGGGGTCCTTGATGACAAGCTGTAGGTAACAAGGTCTGTAAGGGCTTGGAACGGATTCAATTTACTAATCATTTTCTAAGTTCTCAAGGTCCTTGATTATCTCCCTTTTTTAATCTGAGGGGATCATGACCTATTTGTAGACCATTCTAAGAGATATATCTCCGTACCTAACCGCCTCCCTTAATTGTATATTGGTTATCTTGCAGTCTACCCGCATCGTCTCGTGATGCATCTTATTTAATGATTATAAAAATAATTATCCTAGCCGCTTTACTGGTTCTTGGCTGCATTCATATTCTAACCAACAAGTGTGACACAAGCTGCAACCTGCCTGTCGTCGCTACTTCGCGAGGATATTCACCGCCGCTCGCTACTCCGGTTTTGAGTCGAGACATACATACATGTGCGCTATCCAATGTAGGTTTCAAGATTTGTTGTTATATTAGGTACTCGTATGATGCTTTTATCCTCTTACTTGAGATAGCGTGTCTATCTAGATATCTTAGCTAGGTACATACATGTCTCACTTACACGCACTTCTAAAAGAAACGTATCAATTATTACCAACTATCGGCAAAAAAGTTTTTATGAAGCAAGGCCTATATCAATATCGTCATCTTTTGTAAAAAAAAAAAAAAGGGTATAAATCACCGACATTAGGAGTAAAGGAATGGCTTAGATACCCCATTTCGATGATTTACATGTTTATTTTCATGATCATTTCCCCGGTTCTATGTTCATATTGCTTTGGCGAGTATGATAAAAAAAACCTTATTATCTGGTAATGAAATAAACACTTTGGCGGAATAAATTTATACATATCCCAATTACGTCGATAGTTGCTTTCGGATTCACTCTTGGTTATTCACTGTTTACAAGCTCGTCATGGCTTTATATTCGAGACCCAGTTATGCTTTGCAAGTAAGTATCTTGGCTTCGACGGACAAGAGGAAACGTTTATATTGAATTCGATTACTCGATTTTGTGTGACTACCCAAGTTGTGGTTCGCGATTGTTATTATAGTACTCGAGTAGAAGTGGTAGCGTTGCTCTTTGATAGATTATATCTCGAAGCAATCCAACTAACACATGAAGAATGTTTAATTCAGTAAAGCCTGTAAGTCCTGCCCTACTCTGACCTTCGATGGATACTCGTATGAGAAACAAACTCCTTAGGTTAATGGTATTGCTTCCATGAAATTAATATTTACCCAAGCCTAAGTTCATTTTGCGGTGTAATTAGGTTCTGGAAAGCCTTGCAAAAGAAAAAAAAACCATACTAACTATAAATATTCAATAACAAAATCCGATACACACATTAAAAGTTTCGTTAGAAATATTGCTACTGTCTTTACCCGAGCAGTGGTTGTTTGTGGTAACGAAATAGCTATTTTATTACCGTATGATGATGATAACGATACAGAGAAATTGGAATAGAATCAGTGGTATCAGTGATATCAGCGATAAGATAAGGTCTTGGCATACCTTACGTAGCTTCCACGTATGTACCTACTTAGTGGTCTGTGCGTACAAAGTACGTCTCGAGCTATCCATTCAGCCCATTGTTTTCCTGGCGAACGCGTTCTGCCAATTCAATGCAGGTAAGTTCCAAGATACAAAGCTAAAGGTACTTAACTTTACGTACCTTTTTTTTCTGAGTACCCGCGCTGCGACTGATTGCCCATTCTCAATTCTTTACATTTCATCTTTCTCTCATCCACCTTTACTATCATTTCCACGAAGCCAAACTATAAAGTCGACCCTACATCAATAATACCACTCTCTACATCTTAATCCAAAGTTATACTTCACTCAATCCTTTATTATTTCAACCGCGACATCTCTTGTTATTGCCGTCGCGTCGCGCATCCATCACGATGTCCGACTACGCCTCCCTAAAGGTTCCAGAGTTAAAGAAACTCCTCCAAGAGAAATCCCTACCTGTAACAGGTAACAAAGCCGATCTAATCGCTCGTCTGCAAGATCACGATAAGTCCCAGAACCGTCAGTATTTATTTTAAATATGTCTCCATTTGTCGCAATGTCACCTTTAATAGGCACATACTGATATCCAATAGCTGCCCCCGTTCGCGAAAACGAGGATGAGATTGATTACAGTGATGATGAAGTCCCAACTACATCAAAGCCTTCAGAAACTGCGATAGCCGCCGAGCCCGTTGAACCAACACCAGCTCCAGTTGTTGAAGAGAAGTCTACCGAGCCTATTGAGCCTGTGGAGAGTGCGCCAGACTCTGTTCCGACCACAGATAAGCCGGTTGAGGATGAGACGGAAGAACCCGCCAAGACAGAAGCTCCAAAAGAAGACTTTTCTGCGCACCTTCCTGCATCCAACGCAGATGAAGAGGCACGTAAGCGTGCCGCGCGAGCTAAGCGATTTGGCGTAGTTGAGAATGACGAAGACAAGAAAAAAACCGAGCGCGCTGAGCGTTTTGGTGTAGATGATTCCTCTTTGGTGAAAGGTCTCGACGCCGCGCTGCCCGAGAAGAGGCCATCGAAGCGAGGTCGGGAAGGTGGTAATGCGGAAGGTGAACGAGGTGCGAAACGACAAAACCCCGGTGGTCAACAAAGAGGCAAAGGTCGTTTTCGCCAAGGTAGAGGTGGTAGGCCGAATGGCGCTCCTCGCAAAGAGGGCAGGCCGGCTGGCGCAAAGGGGAAGCCTGCTATTCTAAACGACCCATCCGAAAAGGCAAAGGCCGAGGCGCGGGCAAAGCGCTTTGCTGGTGGTTCTTAAGCAATTTGGAGAAGACGTCCCATCGGTCTAGTAGAACAGATCAAGGCCAACTCTAGCAACACGTTTCAGAGAACCCTGCCTGAAGAATGTTGCTATGGTGCCCCATTTTCCTATCACCGCGAATGTAAGGTACCGGGCAACTTTACTTCGAGTCGAGAGGGATATTACGCCGCTACCATGCACGATTATCTTCGATTGCCGCTGTACACTAGTTCGTCTCATTCGTTAGGCTATCGCGAATAATGACCTTTCGACATTTCTTGTACCAGGCCTACGCTTAATTATATCATGAAATACCGCACCGTCGTTTCTGTACTACCATTTAGGCGGATGACATTAGATAAAGTCTGAAAATTATACGCCTATCCTTGAATAAACGATTCACGTGAACGAATATTAATCTGCAAAGTGAGCCCGTCAAGATCAATGCCTGGCGAAAGAACTCACCCTGCCCCCTCACGATCGCGTACGATCTGATTTCGCTAGGGCTCTTCGATGTCCAACATTTGAGTGTCTCGCTTCGGCTATGCCCCCTCCCCTTTCCCCACAATCAAATAGAGTGTAAAGGAGGGTTGCAGCGGGGTGTTGGGCTCACCAGATAGCCGTACGAGATATTGGCGATACTTTGTCAAAGTGACATTTAAGCCAACCACGACTATCTCAATAACTTGTTCGCATTATACTTTAGGTAGTATCGAAGTTGCATTTTTGCACAATTCGTGTTTTACACTAAATATGGACAACAATTATATGGCAATTGTCATAACTTTTTAAATACCAAGTTTGATTAACATAACTGCCTTTTTTAATCTTCCGGGGATTGACAACGGTTAATTACCTAGGTAGATAAATAGTATTATTCTCGCTATGTCGACTTTGCTTGCGTTCACTTGAAAGTCATGGGTTTTCACGGTTACTTAGGTACTTAGGTTAAGTGCTTAGGTGGGTTTAATTCCTAAGCTTTTATTACAGATAAAACAACTGCTAATACCAGATTTTTAAGCAACAGTCTAGGTTAGTTGAATAAGGGTTGGTGTTGGGTTATTCAAATGGCATGGCCATAGTTATGAACTATGAAATTAAACTATAAACTGTGGTATAAATCTTTTTACCTTGCCAGCTATGAAGGGTTTCTTAGAAACTACAACGTTAACAATGAAGACATAAACTTTCCTAAAACACACGTATAGATATAGCACAATAAGTGGATGTTTAGGACTTTACTGGCACTATTTTTTGTTTTCGAGTTGATGTATCATCACAAATTTCTAGAAAAACACCTGGTGTAAGGAAAATAGCCATAGCTAGGTATTTATGAGTCTACGTATAAGCATTGCAACTTAATATATTACGTTCGAGCTGTATGCCTAAGATGTAAACTTTTTATCCCTGAAAGTTTCCTTTTGTTCACTCAAGCATTGCCACAATAGTAGCTAAACTTACAGCTAATCCTCTTCAATATAGGAATTTCCATCCTGTTTTCAAAGAGCCACGATATCAGATAAGAATAACTTCGGGGGAAGCTTCAATTTTTATTATAAAATATAGCAAAAATAGAATTATAACACCGCCTCTATAATATACAAGTAGGGTTTGCAACGTATATATGACAAAGAGAATCTGAATTTATTCCGGATCCATATTCCTTTGTCCCTTCCCAGACGTTTCCGTAGCCGCCTGAGGCGTTATTGTCTCGATATTAATGTTCAATATAATCCTATAGCTAATAGACAATAGAATCTTACAAACAATGTGTTTAGGTACAAAAGTCACCTAATTCTATTCTGGAGTCGAAGCGAATCCTAGCCAAATATTCCTAATAGTCCTCCAACGTAGTTATAGATTATTGTCAACTTAGCTAAACACACGACGATGGCACAGCAGCCAGGTGATGCAAGAATCTTCGGCGATGTAAATACGCGGCGCTACCAAAATTATCATACCAATACCAATCCCCAAGAGGTGCCGAGTGTGAAGAGATATGCAAGCGTCCTATTTTACCTACGAGATATCGAAGTTGACAGTCAACAGCAATGGGAATCATTAATACACTATGTACCCATGCAATGGCGCCCATACGTAAATGAAAAACCAATTGGATTAGACTATCACGAAGGCGGTCACACGACGAATTTTTTTGGCAACGACAAGGCTCAGAGGTTACTAGCTGATTATGACACAGTCATCCAGTTTGCGAAGGATAATATACAATTGGTCTACGATAAATTTACAACTGCTTTCGGCCATGATGCCATCCGTGGCTTGACCCTCGCGCAAGCATTGGATTTAGTTACCTCGTGGTGTCAGATATGGTTTCAATCCCGGAATCGATTTTTGGAAATGGCAATGAATTCTACCCCCAGCACTCGGGCAGCTCCGGATGTACATGCAAGCCAGTTTGACAGAACAAATATTGTCAACCATCATCTTCACGCTCCTAATCTAGAGCTCGACGCCTTGTGGGTGTGTGTGCCACATTTATCAGATAACGCTTTGTTTAGAAACACTAGAGGCTTGACAAATGCTTCTTTTCGAGCTATATACCGTTTAAATAGGGTCGAAGCTATTTGGATTCGTATGTATATCGAGCTCCTACTACTAGAGCATACTACAAGAGCCTACTGCTGGAATTAAATACAAAGCTAATCTATCAGTGTAGTGCGAATAGCAACAAAAAAAAACCCCGATGGCCAGAGTAGTAGATACGGTCGCACATTCAGGTGGATTGCTTATTTTATAAATCAATATACGAGATGGAAGGTCACAGTTTTTGAACTATACAGAAGGTTCGCCCCACAACCAGGCGATCGTGATCATGGCACCAGAGACCCTGCTGTGAGAAAAGCTTACCAAGAGGAGCGATGGCGAAATGCTGGTGGTAGGTTAATCGAAGGTACGTATAAATGTGTACGCTTGTTAGAGTTGGTTTCTTGGAAACATCGTCAATGATCTTCAACAATTAATATTATGTTTACAATGGCTAACTTTCAGTAGTAAGTAATGCAACTAAGTAACTTTGATTCGTGCCCGTGAAGACCTTTTTTTTTTGCTTAAATCTCTAGAAGGGAAAGATCAAGAAGCTGACGGGATATGGTTTGGTGTAATAGATTGCGTACGAGAACTTCATATACTGGGTTCTTGAAATGATCCGATTTGTCCAGAAAGACCTGGATGTACCACGCGCGACAGTGACCCAATTTGATTTTCACAGACACGATGTTGCCCGGAAGATACGCGACACGCCGTTACCTAATAGTCCACTTAACCGAGAGCAGGGGCCAGTTGGTAGACCAGAACACAGGGACTTCACAGGCAACACTTTAATGGATATTTACGCTGCACGTTTCGATTACGAAGTCACCACGGTCTTACCAACTGTACCACCTATAGGTCGAAGGGGACCTATGTATGCAGACCCAGTTTATGTCTTTGAGGGGGCGCCAATTATCGCGACTACATCTACGGAGGATGCTGGAGTAGCGGCGGCTCCGGCGGACTATCACAGCGATGATATAGATCCATCCGACACTTACGTTCCTCCTCCTCCTCCTCCTGCTCCTGCAATGATGGCACAAGCGGTCCCGGAGTTTGACGAGGAGATATCCTCCGAGGACTACGACGAGGAAGAGGCGCCCCCCTACACCATCGAATTCCAGGACGGAGGCGCGCGGAAACGCAGCTTGACCGCGCCCAAGAGCCGCACCGCGCGCTTGACTACCTCCGCTCTGCTGCGAGAGGCGCTCTGGGGCGCAGGATCTCTAAAGCGCCCGGCCAGGACGTCGCTGCACTCGATATTTCCTGGCCGCGTGGCTAAGAGGCGGAAGATCGACGTGGTCACCGAGCCCGACTACGAGGAAGAATAGCCGTCGACATGCAGCGATTACGAGCGATTCTTAAGGTTGTTCTAGAGGTTGTAAAATTCTCATGAAGGATACCTCCTTTTCCGTTCGCTGGTAGGACTTTCATCACGGCGCTATTGCATGCTCGGTATGATAATGGAATATCCGAGGTTTACCTGGGGATGTTCAGGAGGATACACTAACCAGATGATTTTTGATTTTCTCTTTCTATTATTTCATTTTATATTTGTTTGGGTGTCACATATGTTACTAAAATAAAATCGACAAAAAAAAACCCCCTGCTTGTTCAAGGTCTACTCGACACCCGCCCGAATAGTACCTTGCTTCAGCGGGTGCGGAGTACACTTCTCAGCGGGTGATCAGGTTTGAAACTTGAAGTTTGGGGTGCGAGAATGCAATGGGACGGGAAACGCAGCAGGTTGGATATAAACGTGCCTCTTTTGCGTTGGCTGGGGGGTGGCCTGTTGTGTGGGAGTTATATATTAGAGTCAAATAGGTGTTAGGACAGTTTGGTTGTATTAATATTATTTCTTGTTTTTTCTATATTCTCTCGAATAAAAATATGACCGTAGTAATGAGTCGAAACTATATTGCCATTGGGTTCTGAAATTCGGTCTCTTGGTTCGTATGATACTACCATACAGGGTTGATCTACGAAATGTGCTAATGATGAAAAACAAGCAAAATAATTATAACCCGGATAAATATTTATAAATATTAATACACATATAGATGGATTCGTTTAATACATGATATTAGACACGTTGAAAGCAATTTCATCTTTTCTTTGCCCAGGTGTTGGATCCGAGGTGTATCGTTAACCCCTATATTGGTGAATGAGGACTTTATAACCAGAAAGAATAATTTTAACTACTGACCCAGGTACCTATTTAAGAAGAAATTTAGATGATCAGATGACGACGGAGAGAACCTCTGCGGCTTAGATAGTTAGTTAGTTGTTACTGAAGCTTCTTGGAGATTCATTCACGACCATAATGCAAACGTGAGCGAGCGACGTGCTATTCCGTAAAAGGCGGTGGGCACAAGAGGCCCCCATCAGATTTGACCGTAATTGGAAAGTGGGAAAATTACAACTTCACATGATTTTATGGGTCTTCGGTAAGAGGGAAAAATTTAACTGTAACTATTGAACTATTTCAAGATCACGAAGTACTTAATAGAAGTGATATTCAATCATCCTTCCTGTCATATCCACTCGGTGGCGTAGCGAGCGAGCTCACTTTGATAAACCATGCCCGCCGACTTCGAGAAGCAGAGTTATTGGCATGAGAGATTCTCGTCTGAGATATCTTTCGAATGGCTAGCGTCGTCAGAATCTTTCATGTCCATCATAGAGCCTTACCTCCCGACACCCTCGCATAATTACGAGAACACACCCCGAATTCTCCATCTAGGCTCAGGCACAAGTGACTTGCAGAACTATTTTCGTTCGAGAGGTTACTTAGACGTGACAAATGTCGACTACGAACCATTAGCTATCGAGCGCGGGCGCCAGCTAGAGCAGATCGCCTTTGGTGACATAAGGATGAAGTACATCGTTGCAGACGTAACACAACTTGCCTGCGACTTTTCGCAAGATCAGAGATTCGATATAGTCGTAGACAAAAGCACCGTCGATGCGGTCTCTTGCGGTGGTATTACAGCCTTTTTAAGGATGGCTTTTGGCGTAAGGAAATACCTCGCTGACAATGGGATCTGGATCTCCCTTAGCTATTCTTCAGCTCGCTTCGATATAGAGCAGCTGCCATTCGACGTCGAAGTCATAGCTAAGATCCCGTTACCCAAACTCAAAGAGAATGACCCGGAGATATACTATTATTGCTACCTTCTCCGGCCTAAATGATTTGAAAATGGACATGTAATGTTCACTAGAGATTGGCAATCATGGGGTCATGAAAGTCGATATTGTATTGACTTGTCCTGTTTGCTATTGCCCAGAGTTGTGACACAAATTACGTGTCAGAGGAAGAGGAGAATGAAGTGTTATTAGTTGGAGAGGGGACGAAATCCATATGATGAAAGGTGGGGAGAGAAGAGAATATATGGCTTACCTAATAACAATAATAAAGTACGTTCCTACATTGGTACCTCTTAAGAAGCTGCCGAAAGCTAACGTGCCGCACTGCCGCCGTGGAGACTGACATAGGAGCTAACCTAAAAGCTATTAAGACCGGAGCTTTTTCAGGCACCTTAAACTCGCTTGGTTTTAGCTGCGTCACTAGGACTCCACTATAAATGGTGCGTTTGGTGTAAAGCATAAGGCGATGACCTCATACTACGGCACGATCCAACTATTCAACATACCGCACATCCAATAGGTAGCATATTACATGTATCTTTTGCGCCTCTTGAGTCTTGGTGATGCAAGCAAGAAACATGTTTCCTCGTCCTTTGTATATCACTGGACTACGATATCTCGTATTATAATCGTCAGGCCTTAGATAATTAAAACTTTTCATATACCCTCGAAGTAGCCACATGTGCATTTCTTAATATCTTAATGTATTCTTCTCTATCTTCTCTATCATTTCTTCCACTTACCATATAAATACATTCCCAAGTACTTCCTGGGTCTTATTAACCCTTATCACTCCTCATGAATAATATCTAACACCTATGCAAGCACACTATGACGAACCAGGCGGATTTTGAGAAGGATGCGTCGGGAAGAGAGTATGGCAACCTTCACAGCGCCAGGCATCCAATCCCTACCGTTCAGAGTTACAGGCAGCATAGAAGGGAATTGGAAGGACAGGTAGAAGATGAGGAGCAAGCGCAACAAGGACCAGAGGACGACTCGAGACCAAAGCGGGCGTTCCAATCTGCGAAAGCCGTCATCCAAGGTGAAGATACTCCTAAGTCTCGACATGATCCATATCCATCTACGAACCATAACTATGCCGATAATCCCCCGTATGCCCCCGAAGAAGAGCAACAAGAAGAAGAGGGCAGTCGATCTAAAGAGACGCAACAAGATTCTACCAATGATACTAGAAGACAGGAGGAACCTGATGACCATCGGGGAGACGGCAGTAAGAAGGGAGGTGAACAAGAAAAGTCGGCAACTGAAGCTGTAGCAAGCGCTGTTGACCCGAGAGAAAAGCGCAAAGCGATGAAGAAGACTAAGAGACATGGTGGAGGACGCGAAGTCACCGATCCCGTTACCCATTTGCCGATTATCATACACGATCAGACTGAGAAGGATCTAAGCTCTGCGCCTCAGAATATCCCCGCGCCAGGACTACATCATTATACTGCTACCGGGCCCCAGGGTGCTTCCAAGTCAGACCAAGAGTTGACCTCTGAGCGCGACGAGTTGCAACAGGCTCATAATGGAATGCAGAGGCTATTTCCGCCACCGGATTTTGAGCACACAAAGCAAGGACTCGCTGCTGTTTACGAGCAGGCAGTATATGCTGGCCTGGGTCTAATAGGTATTCTGGCTGTTGTTCTACTGTTCGCCCCGTCAGTTTTCATTGGGCCGGGTTGGTCCATCCTATTCAGCACAGCTCTGTTTGTTTTGCTGGGAACGGTGACTATCATTGGCATGGGAAAATGGATAAGTAAGAAAACCAGCGAGCTATTTGAAGACGAGACTTGGGATGCTGCGCGACGAGCAGAGCAGGCTGTCCTGAATAACGACGAGGAGCTTCCTGAATCGACTCAATGGTTAAATAGCTTGCTCTCGTCCATCTGGCCGCTCGTTAACCCAGATCTCTTCGCTTCTCTCGTCGATCAAATCGAGGATATTATGCAAGCATCCCTTCCCAAGGTTATTAAGATGGTCAGTGTCGACGATATGGGACAAGGTAGCGAGGCTATTCGAATATTGGGCGTGCGATGGCTACCGACTGGTGCGGCTAGTCAAACAGTGGGCTCCGATAATCAACTTCAAGGGGATGACAAGGGGACCGGAAACGATCGAACAGACCCGCAAAATCCCCAAGGAGGCGCCAATGACCAGGAAAATAATGCCGAAGGGAAGAGTAAAGATTCGAAGCAAGAGGAACAGGAGCAAACGGCCATGCGAGAGGGGATGGAGGCGGAAGAGGGCGATTTCGTGAATTTGGAGCTTGCGCTCGCCTATCGAGGCCGCTCGTCCGGCAAGTCGGTCAAGGCCAAAGCCAAGAATGCCCATCTTTACCTAAAGTTTTACCTTCCAGGAGAGGTAGCTATCCCCGTCTGGGTTGAGCTTAAGGGCCTTATTATGACTGTTCGACTCCGGCTTCAACTGACACCGGACCCACCGTTCATATCTTTATGTACTATGACCTTCCTTGGACAGCCAAAGGCCAGTCTCTCCTGTGTCCCTCTTTCAAAGCATAGCTTTAGCTTGACGGATGTCCCATTGATATCTTCTTTCGTTAACTCGGCAATCGATGCTGCTCTTGCGGAATATGTGGCTCCTAAGAGCTTGACTTTGAACCTAAAGGACATGCTTGTAGGAGAAGATTTTAAGAAGGACACAACTGGCTTAGGTGTCGTCTGGATTTTCATCAAGCAGGCGCGTGGCTTTAAACAAGGTGACGGCGGGATCGGGCCTATGAAGGGCTCAAGCGATTCGTATGTTACTGTATCGTGGGGCAAATTCGGTAAACCTGTTGCTTCGACTCGCATCATTACGGGTGACGATGAGCCGAATTGGAATGAATGGGCAAGCATTCTGGTGACTCCAGAGGAGGTCAACGCCGAGGAAAAGCTACGACTTCAACTATGGGATTCGGATAAATGGTCGGCAGACGACGATCTAGGCCAAGTAGAGGTAGACCTCAAGTCTCTTATGAAACATCCGAACAAATTTCGAGACCGCGAGGATAGATTTTGTGGCCAAGACCCCGACGAGAAGATGCCAGGATCATTACAATGGTCTGTCGGATATTTTTCGAAGATAAGAATCACGCCCAGAGAACTTGAACAGCAAACCGTCAACGGAGAAATAAGAACTCACGATCAGCTTAGACAACACGTCTCGGAATTATCCGAACATAAGCTGCGGGAGGCTGGCAAGCCATCGGATGATGACGAAGTGAAGCAACAGAAAGCTCAAGACTACAGAGAACTTGAAGAAGCCATGATTATCTCAGCCCCGCCATCTAACGACTTCGTCTCGGGTATTCTCAGCATCCAGATCCATAATATCACGGGGCTCGAAGTACAGAGGCTTCAAAAGGAAGATAAAGGAGACGGAGGCGATAACGAGGATGAAGCCGAGCAGAACGACGACATGCCCGACAGCTACTGTACTGTCATATTCAACCACAAAAAGGTCTACAGGACAAGAACGAAGCCGAAGAATTCAAAACCTTTTTTTAATGCCGGAACCGAACGATTTGTTCGGGACTGGAGAGATGGCGAGGTTATCATCAGTGTATGGGACTCTCGCGAACGGGAAGACGATCCGCTGATAGGGATTGTTTATCTTCCCCTAGCGAAGGTGTTTGCGAAAAAGAGCCAGGTGATGGAAAATTACCCTTGTAAGTTGAGATGGAATGCTATTTTCGCATCCTGATTTGTTTTATGTCGTTACAAATAGATACTAACATGGCATTATAGTAGTTGGAGGTATTGGATATGGTCGGGCTCGTATTAGCATGGTTTGGCGAAGCGTGGAGCTTAAACTCCCACCAAATCTCAGGGGGTGGGATTATGGAACCCTAGAGATACGCGGATTCATTCAAGCGAAAAACGATTTGCCTCGGTCATTGACGGAGCATCGCATTAAGATACACACGAACTTGGGACGAGCGAAGATGTATCCCGAAAATGGTCAGTGGGTGTCTAAGGGTAAAAAGGAGCAAGAGGCTGTGTTCTTGGCAGTGCGCAAGCGATATGCTTCGGCCGTGGTGATCGAATTCCGCCAGTCCGTGCTTGGACCGGATAAGACAGCCGCTTTTGCGGTCATGTGGCTCCACGAGATCGCCGATGAGGAAAGCGAAATACGAACCTTAAAAGTGTGGAAAGGATCGAAGGATGGCCTCCGCAAAGCCCAGTCATGCTACGACTACAATGGCATGGGTGATGGTGAACAACCTTTAGGCGAAGTTGAACTATCATTAAAATTTTGGCGTGGTCTATCTGGCTATCACAAGAGCTATGCTTCTCAGGCTAAGAATAATGATCTGCGGAATGTTATGGAATGCTTAGATACAATCACAGACGAAAAGCTCGACGACGACGAAGACGAATCTGAACACGAAGGCGATATAACAAGTGATGACGATTCGGAAGAGGAGACACGCAAGAAGAAGCTCCGTGTCCACACCAACGATGATTCGTCGCGCTCTAGTTCCGACGACGAGGGCGAAGGCGACGGATCCGGAACGTCGAGCTCTTCTCGCTTATCCTTTTCAGATATCAAAAAGGTCAAAAAAGTCAAGAACATCTTTCGCAACCCCGTAGACGGAGCTAGCGAAGCAGCTACGTCGGTACTGGCTCCAGGGCATAACAGTCCAGACGATGGATCCAGAGGAATCCGAAACCAGATGCGCGACTACAAAGACCATCACAAACAGCTTCACCGCAAACATCGTGGCATCATGCAGTGGAGGCCAGCAAGAGAGGCTAACCACGTCGGGGAGAAACTAAGCAGACTCAAAGGAAATATCAGCGGAATATTTCATCACGGGGAAAAAGAAACCGGCGTCGAAACCGAGGTGTGAGACCACATGTAGGTTGCCTAAATGGAGTTTAGCTCCCGTATGCCGAATCCCGCGGTCCGCGGCAGTGTGGGGTTCCGGAAGCGGAAAGGGGTTATACATAAGGAGTCTAGAAAATGTGTCTATGCATAGGCATGTTTTATCTAACTACCCGTTTTTATTCCTAGGGCCACTAAATTATGCCAAGACAGAAGGAGAAATGAAGGCTTCTATTCTTTACTTCTTTTTGAGGCGTTGTTTGAGGCTATGAAAAAGGGCTTGTATTTGGATCGGTGTATTTCGCACGAGTCGTCGTAAATTATAGCCAATCAGAATCTAACCGCTTACATACGCCGCATATGTGCCTTAGAGCGTTTTAGACAGGGTATATTTAAGCTTGATTAATCTCCACTAAAGTAGAGTTACATAGATACAGTCTGGTTATACTTTAGGTAATATTGAACTTTTTCTAGAATTATACTTGGATCATTTCCCACGTGTCCGGACAATTTCGTTTGCTTGTACATTATGTACCTAACCTAAGTGCTTCCATATATATATTTAGTACGAGTTATAAAGTATACTTGGTAAGACTTACCTTTGTGTAACGGTATTTTATCCAATACCGTTGGTTCGTTGCCGATTACCGTAAGATTTCTTGGCCCATATGCACTAACTAAGGGTGTACCTTGAAAACGTGTTTACGGGAGAGAGCCACGGCATTTACTGCCGTAGAATATAGAATAAGAAATTAGTAATATAATTCTATCTCGGTTAACGTCGAATTAGATATCTCCTATCCGGACCTTACCGGTGATTAAGACGTTTCATTGGTGGTAGGTAATATTGAAACATCATGCTACGTATGTACAAAATGAGGTATGTATGTAGAAAAGCGCATTGATAGATGTAATTAAGAAAGCATTAGAAAGGGCGTGGTCCACTCACACGTACAGGGGCAATACACTAATACCCCTGATGCCTTACCGCATAGGCGGTAGAAAACACTACTATTATTTGGTACCAATCCTCAATTCTCCTCAACTTTACATAGTAACTAGATAAAGCTTTATTTTAACAAAACATCAGATATGATACGATCTTTTCTCTCAACAACTTCGACATTATTCGAGAATTATGTACCAAGGTAAGAATTAAACCTCCAACGAAAATAATACCCCGTCAATCAGAAGTTACCTATCAGCTCTGAATTAAAAGAAGAAAGAAGAAGAAGAAAAAAAATAATTAGTTTCATACTTTGCATCCTTCATATTGATAGACGGGATAGCGGTGTCAAAATCACCAGTTATTCCGGACTTGCCTTATATGGGTACCACACAATGAGAAAGTCCTGCCGATCTACATAGACATCGGCCGGGGAAAGGATTGGTACCCGGGATACCATTATCTCCGCCGCCATGGTAGATATTAAAGGTTGCGACTTTTCGGGTCTCACATAAGCTTGACCGACCCAAACAACCCGCCAAGCTAGGACCATTGACGACTCCTATTCTAATGCGGTCCGGGGTCGACCAATAGATGGTCCCCTTTTTTAGGGCTGAGATAACTATGTACCTAACACACATGTAATACAAAACCACGATATCATGTGGTATGAGCTGACCCGCCGGCATCTCAGCCCAAAGATGGGGGCGAGCAAGCAAGTCAACCGGGCCGCTGATAACCTTAAAGACAGACGATCCGGTAGTTATTTAGGATTAGGTCATCCGCAAAGAATTGCCGGCAGCCAGTTTTCTTTAGGTAGGTAGTTATAGGATGAATGAATCCGTATTGAGGAGTCCTTGTCTCGGATCCTTTAGATATATTCATAACTCACGAAGACACACCATCAATGCCACCGCCATTCTCTAAAGTAAGAATGTTGGTGCCTATAGTGACTTGTGACGACGATCTCAAAATCATACGTAGCAGCGAACAAGCCGATATTTAGTGAGAATCGGTGGTCTTTTTTATCTTTATGTGCATCTGAGGCACAGACACGAGGTAGGCTATTGGTCTGAGCCTCTCTCCCCGACCCTCTTGACTAGGCTTGCCTTGTTCTTGTTGTTCCTATTATGGTCATATATAACGTTTCATGGTCTGAGACTAATACAATTGCTTGTTAACCATGGGAACTTCCCATGTGTACGGGCCCCTGTTAGATGGATTTCCACGGAGATCGATTTAGGCAACGCTTATTTTCTTATCCTCGAGTTTGATTTGCCAGAATACTATGGGAATACTTATGCATGGCCTTGTTGGACCTTTCTGGGCCATGCCTCTATGCCGCCATGCCGCCATGATGCTATTAATGATGCCCACATGTTATCCACATGCCACCAAGCTGCTAGCCATGCCACACCATGCCAACAAGCCCTGTTAACATATGTATGTACACTACACTACATACATACATACATACATACATACATACGTACACTAGAAAATCAGCCTTGACCGATGGAACTTCATCTTACCACATTGCGGGGCCAGTGGCCGTGACCAGTCCGATTCCTCGACCAGTCCGAATGCCGCAATTCGATTATGTCCTTTACTTTATATAATTACTAATACGAAATAACTTCCCCAGCTGCCCCTATTACGACGTTACCACCCAGACGGATTCGCCATAGCTGCAAATACCCGCGCTTGTCCCCTTCGACTATGTAGAATCTGGGCAATATACTTTATTTATGTATACGATCTCCATAACTATCGCCAGCGACTAGGTATCCCAGTACATACTTGGAGCCGAACCCCTGCATCAGCCTGGCTTACCCAGATACCCAACGCGCGCACTGGCCTACGAATTTATTATTTGACGGATAAGTAATCAGTCGACTACGTCCGCCGGTCGGGTTATCATCACGCTTCGAATCTGGTTCGCGACGCAAAGAATAACGATAAAAAAACGAAATCACAAAACTATTATCCCATACGGAAATAAAGCCCGTATAGATATATACATAGATATAAGGGGGGAAAAAACCCATAATTCAATCCAGAATAAGCATTTCCCGTCAGCCGACATGAGACAGACTCGTCGGAATAGCCCCAGCAGCCTCAGCCAACGGTCGGCACAGACTTCCGATTCGTCGGAAAAGAGTAGTCGACGATGCGACGGATTAAAACCCACAAGGAAGAGGGCAAGTAAGCCCAAAGTCCGAACAGGTAAACTATCTAGTTATCCCCGATGAGCTCAACATTGGGGACCAGTTAGCTAACATCTTCTCCACCGTACCGATAGGCTGTATTAGCTGTAAAAGAAGACATGTCAGTTCATCTTTGCAACTTCTAGTTCCTCTGCTATATTCGACGACTGTCTGGGAGGGGAGAGGAAGTTTATCAGGCCGTGAATTAACGGCTATGATGGTCACAACTACTCCTTGTTGACAGGCTGTTTGTTCTGTTGGCTACCGTTGCATCACAGCTACTAACTCGATCGTCTATAGGTTAAATGTGACGAGGGCAAACCGTCTTGCGCAGAATGCGAGCGTCTTGGACTTATGTGCGAGGGCTATGCTCCGCCTAAAGTCAAGACGACCTCCTGTCGGCCTGAGAGATTACTATTACCAAAGCCGAAGCTTGCCTCGGTGCAGCCGGCAAAGATTGCTGCTCTATCTCAGCCGGTGGACTATCGGTCGCCAACTCCGCTAATGCCTACGTTTGGCTTTGAACTGAATGACGACGACAAGTGGTACTTTACTCTGTTTAGGGACCAAATATCTCGAGAACTTTCGCCTTACTTTCGGTCTAATTTCTGGTCCCAGACGTCTCTTCGAGATAGCATGGTCAACAGATGTATTCATCATTCTATTCTCAGTATAGGTGCCTATGGCCGTGCTCTTATGGACCTTCGCGAGGGGTATACGGTCAACGGCAAGATGTGCCGGACGTGGTGGCCTCCGTCGGTGCTGAATCGACATCACCAAGCGGCCCTTGTGCATCACGCCAAAGCGCTCTCGCATCTACGATCTAACATCAGGACATTCGGGATCGACGGACGTTTAACGATGGCGGCAACCCTTTTATTTATAGTGTTTGAGAACATGCAAGGGAACTATCTCAGCTCTGGGAATCTTATACGAAGCGGCATCAAAGTGTTGAAAAACATACGGGGCGGCGGAGATTCGAAATCTATTTTACGGCGTCAATGGTATCGATGTCTGTCGACCCCGCGAGACGAGGTGGACGAGATGACGATTATGTTTGCACGCCATAGCGTCGCCACCGCGTGTGTCCCGTTCGCGCACGGGAAATTCGCTTACCACATCTTACTCACCGAGGACGAAGACGAAGACGGCGATACGGGCTTAGACGGGCCATTTACGTTTTCGGCGCCGCAGACGCTCGAGCAGGCGAGGCAAATCTGGGATCATCTGATGGTGCAGATCGCGAGTTTCCAGAGCAAAATCGCGTGGCACAACTCGAATCCCGAATACGACTTCGACGAGCCCGCGGCGTTCCGCGAGCAGGCCATGTACCTGGCCCAACTAACCGACTTAGGGGTCGCGCTGGACTCGTTGCTGTTCAGCACCGTAGACAGCCGCGATCGCCAAGGCCTCGAGCTGTTGCGCATGCACCACACGATAGCGTCGGTATCTACATCGTGTTGTTTCGATTCGACGGAGATGATGTACGATCAATATATACCCCAGTTCGAAGACGTGGTTCAGCGATGCAAGCAATTCGCCGATTTCCCATCGGAGTTAACCACAAAGATAGGATTCATTAACGAAGCGGGGCGATTGCCTTTGCTGGCTTTCGTAGGGATGAAGTGTCGGAAAGCCAGCGTGAGGCAGGAGGCAGTGCAGTTGCTACTGCGCTGCGACTGGCGCGAAGCAACCTGGGATAGCGAGAACCTCGCCAGCGTGGTGACGGGCATAATGAAGCTCGAGGGGCAACTGGATCCGATAGATCCCGATTGCTTGACTCCGGCTAAGGACCGCTACAGGTGGACGAATATATTCTGGGACTTTGAGAAGCGGCAGATGCTCCTTGAGTATACCAAGGCGCTGCCGGACGAACTGGGCGAGTTCCATAAGGTTAGCTATGTGATGGGTGTCTAGGACTTGGTTGTCTGGGGTGTATCTTGGGAATATCACAATGGGTTAAGGGGGGTTGCGGGCACGTATATCGACTAAAGACTTTAGAATTGATAAACATTTAACTACCCCAATATGAAGTTTCAGTTTAACTTGTATCTAATATATAACTCCTAGTTTATATTACATCGAGTTTAACAGTCTTGGTCTTCTTTTACTTTTTTAATGATAGTCTCAAGACGCAAGTCAAGAATAAGTATTATTGTGATCAATTCATAACAAGAAATATAGACCGTATCCAATACATAATAGGAAAAGTAACAAAATAATATCTCAAAAGTCTTTTCAGTGCTTAGCCTTCCTCGCCGTGTGTAAAGAAGAGAGCAGATCTCCCAGAAGGCCCTCGTCGTCGTCCCTCTTGCGTTTTCCTCCCTCAACTAGAGCCATATTGGCCCCGTCACCCAAACGCCGAGGAACTTGTCCGGGACCCGGAGAGACTTCTCCAGGACGCTGAGGGACCTCCCACGGCTGAATAAATGTAATTCCTTCACCGCCAAGAGCCGGATCATAGTGGTCATGACTACCGCAATCATATAAGTTAGCACCCATTTGTGTATAAGTAAGGGGTAGGTTAGGGAAGAGATCTCAAAAACCATGACTCCAAAAGAGCCTTAGTTCTTGAGATGGATAGAGAAGAGGGCAATAGTGCTCTTTATTACGTACACTCTGATTGGGTAACGACCCCTCCGGTCCCATCCACCAGGATGAGTCGCACTTAGGTTGGCATGTTCTACAAAACATTAGTTAAAGGTCTTCATCCCCTCCACCCCCTGTTGAATATCAAGAAAAGGCTTACTCCTAGAAATATTCTTAGTATATATCGGGCCGTCATGTGGAATATCTTGCACTCTCTTCGGGAAAAACGCCCGGTAATGTGGCGGATTAGCAAAAGCTTGGAAACGACCTCCGAAAGTATCTGCACGCTTTGGCGTAATTCGCTTACCGCGCTGTTGCCAGCCCTCTGGGTTTACGGTCGCAACTATTCGGTAACTACATATGAAAGTAAATGTTATTAGTATTTATTGCCTCATCGTGGTAGATATAGATATGGACTTTTACATACGTAGGTTGGGCTATCGTATCGGTTGGGCGATCTGAGGATTTATTGTTACATCCATCCCAGGTACATGTGAAGCCTATTTTGCAATGAGGGCAACCGTGCGGGTTTGTACATATGACGCATGAGTATTTCCAGCCGCAAGAGGTACATCTAACCCACGGGCGATGTTCGACACAATACCAGCCTTTCGTCCACAATTCCTTGGTCATATTCTTCCCTTCCATTTGAACTTCGTTTGAGCCTGGCGGTGGTGCATGTCTACACCATCGGCCTACGCCGACGTACGTAGGGGTCTTGGAAGAATTCAGATACTGTACGAGCCGGTTGCGTACGTCGAAAACGTTGGTAGGATTGGTTCGATATTTTTGCCATAGTAGATTATTGGTCACCGGGTATTTGGTGAGAAGATCATTCAACCGTTTCATGTACGGCAAAAAATATCTGACATGAGTATCGCGAAGTTCATCATGTCTCGTCGGCTCTGTAGACTCTATAGTACTCTTGTAAGATAAGAAGCTATCGATTATATCTACATCTTCGGCGAATCCTGGATCAGAGACTAGATAAAAGAGAGTCAGTTTCAAAAGTTGGAATGGGATGATCGGTGAAGTGCTATTACATACGTAATCGAATGGCATTTTCGTATTTGATGCTATAAATAGCCTCGAAAAGGGTGATTACCGTATTCGTGTTTAACTGATTGGTGGGAAACTCTCTATTGTGGCGGCCAGGGAAATGTACTGCCCAATTACTAAACCATTCGACCGCTCGAATATCATCAGCTATGGCTGCCGAATGGACGTAAGCGCTGAAGTATCGCGTTGAGAGGGTTAAGCTTGTTTCGTTTAACAAGTCTGGGCCGTTTGTATAGCCGTTGTCTTTCGCCCTGCGATAATGATCTCTCATGAACCGCAGTCGTCCCATCATCGTAGACCCTACATAAGTCATAATCTCTTGGTGGAATCCCGACTTCCTAAGCTCGTCAACATTCCAATCATACGCCTCAGCTATCGACGCGAATAGGCGATCGGCGGCGTTGCCCCGGTTGGAAGTTTCCAATTCCAACTGGTGTTTATTTAATTCCGTGAAAATAAGATCAAAATCTTCTAGGAGTCCCCAGCCCGTTGTGTTGGTGTGCATTCGTCTAACAGTTTTGTACATATTGTTCTCATCCTCGACGGCACCGCTATCCCGTGAATACTCTCCCGCGTTTGACAACTCGCGCAATATGGCTTCTATAAAGTCGTTTGGTTCTTGTAATTGATGGGCGTCTTTAAGGACTATCATGAGGTCATAAGGCTCGTGTTCATCGCCTTGTATCACCGGCTGCCTCTCAGCCGGCTCCCTGGTATAGTAGCGGCTTGTGAGATCTAGTGAGTCTATATACCATTTGCCACGGGCTTGTATTCTGTTCTTTGCATCCTCCCCGATCCTTTCCTGACGCGGCGGCAAGGTAATCGGAATTGCAACATTAGGCTGCCGATTTGTTTGGCCCCCTTGTTCTATCCTAGTTACTTCATTGGTCTCATCCTGGGTGCGACGCCAACGAGGATACCCCGGAGTCGACCGCCCGTGTTGAATCAACCTCGACCTAGGTCGATATTGCTGTTGATCTTGCTGCGGATCTTGCTGCGGATCTTGCTGTGGCTGTGGCTGATCGTTACCTGTATCTTGGGTTGAATCAGGAGTAGGAGTAGGTTGGGGTTCATCTCCCTGGGGTGGATTTTTCTTTAGGGGCAGACCCCATGGATTATTGGGGTCTCTCGGTTGCTTTCCAGGTCCCTTAGATGGAGTTTTTTTTGCGGGTTGTTTCCCCCATGGATTATTGGGGTCTCTAGTTTCTTGTTGAGGTACTTTAGATGGACCAGCAACAGGTTCTTGTGCGGGTGGTCTCAATGGATTATTACGGTTTCTCGGTGGCTGCTTAGGCCCCGGGGGTGTATTGTCTTGTCTTTTCCATGTATTACCACGATCTCTCGCCGGCTGTTTAGGTTCCTGGGGTGGATTGTCTTGTCGCCTCCATGTATTTTTACCAAGATTTCTCGGTTGCTTTCCCCATGTAGTACCATAATTTCTGCTGTGGGACGTGCCGCTATTGCTTAAGTTTAGTTGATTAAAGGTGTTGGATACCTGTTCGTCGCTAATATCGCTATCGTCGCTAACGCCGTATAGATCATCGTTATTGGAACTTCTACCGTGAGACATGATTGAACCTACGAATGAATAACCACTGGTGCTGAGAGGTACTAGGCCGCCGACGATTATTTCTCCTGGGTAGCTCTTACAAGGGTGCTATATGCGTCAGAAACGGGTGTAAAAAGGACCTCAAGTTAGATTGGGTATATATCTATGGTGAACGGCTAGTTCGATGTGCTAGATTTATCCATATACCGCATTCGGCAGTTCTTTTTGTTGGATAACACCGAGTTGGGAGATGAGGACGGTTTTCTCAAAGAACTAATTACACCCATTGTTTTCGAGGAATGCGGACTGGCCCCTATCTATTAGTGGAATTGAAACCGCTCTAGCAAGATCGGAATATTGTACTTAATCTTAGGTTCCTAAAGGGATGACGGATGTGCGTAAAATAGAAGTACATATTAAAATTTTTGTGTCAAATTCGAGAACACAATGAGGTATAATATTCATTGACGAATTATATTACCTCAACATACATAACATGACTGGTCTCTAACAGTGCTTGAAATATTAGCAGTCAATACTATATATACCTAACAAAGGTAACTCAAGCGATTGCGTAGTAATAATAAGATTATGATAGTGATACAGGGTTGTGTTGGAATTCTTACGGTAATAATGGAGACTTTAATTATAGAATCAATAAGATTTTTTATCTTGGGTTGATGATATACTAAGTAGCCCTAATAAACAGTGTGTAACAGGGTATAATTCGACGCGTAAACTCAAGTATAGGGTAATGGAGGTCATCCATACTAATAAAACAATAAGACACCTGCTATATAGTATGCTTTTTAATGTCGTAGCCCCTTTTCTATGTAGAATGCTGACTCCCCTGTATTCACTTCGATAGGTACTGGCTAATCAAATATATGTCCACTTGCCACGTTTCGAAACAAGCAAATCAAATACCATTCCTCCCTAAACCATCTTTTCAGGCCCCTCGCTGCTCTTAGAAGAGCCTGCACGACCGGCGTTAGGGGTCGACACCTCAGCTGAGCCTGAGAGGACGTCGCTGGTATGGCGCTGCAGCTCGACGTAATCGTATGCGAACTCGCCCAACTGATCGTCGTCAATACCGATCTCCTCATTCTCGGCCGAAACGCGCAGGCTTAGGCCTGGGATCAGGTTCAGGACGAACAAGATCACGCACGTTAAAACGAAAGAGTAGGAGAAGCCCGCCACACAGTCCGCAATCTGGTACCCTAATTGTACGTAGTTGTGGTTAATCCACCCGCCTGGGATCGCCGTGAAACCGTCAAGGGCTGCGATATAGTCGCTGTAGTGTGATGTATTAGTATCTAGGTTAGAAGTTTTCAAGTAATGGTAAATGATAACTTACGCTGCAAAAAGGCCAGTTAGAAGGTTTCCGATAATACCCCCAATTCCGTGGACAGCAAAAATATCAAGTGCCTCATCTACACCCATGACAAACTTCAGCTTAGTGGCAAAATTGCAGCCTATGCCTCCTACAATGCCGAAGATGACGGCAGCCCAAGGGGTAACGAATCCGGCAGCGGGCGTGATGGCTACGAGACCTGCGATTGCTCCAGAGCAGAATCCCACGACCGACCACTTCTTCTCAAGGCGATAGTCAAGGAGGGTCCACGTGATACCACCAACGGACGCGGCCAGGTGGGTGACGATGCAGGCCATGACGGCGCGCATATTAGCAGCGAGAGCAGAGCCGCCGTTGAAGCCGAACCAACCGACCCAGAGGAAGACGGTACCGAGAACGATATGAGTGACGTTATGCGGACGATAGGGTAGACCAGCGGATTTTGCGTATCCAGTCCGCTTGCCGATCATGACGGAAAACGCAAGGGCGGCTGCGCCGGACGAGATGTGGACCGGAGTACCACCGGCAAAGTCCAGACCACCCATCTTGAAGGACCAACCGTTGGCGTTCCACGTCCAGTATGCGATAGGATCATACACGATGGTTGCCCATACGAACATGAAGACAATACATGGGAGTACACGTGCGCGATCGACTGCGGCACCGATCGCAAGGGCTGGTCTGAATCGTATGCGCTTCTACGTTAGAAACTTGATGCGGGAAAGGACTTCTAAGGTTATAACACCACCTGATCCATGGAGAACTCACGTAATAGCGGCGAACATGCCCTGGTACAGACAGAATAAGAGATCGGGAACCTTGGTGCTGCCGACGGAAGGTTGCGCGAGAGTCTTCATAAGGCCAAAGTTGGAGAGATCACCAATGAAGCTGCTGCCGGTATGGGAAAAGGCCAAGCTATATCCCCAAAAGAACCACTGGAAGTCGACGACGGCGATGGACAACATGGCCAACATAATTAACGAGAGCGCGGATTTGCGTCGCGCAAGGCCTGAATAAAAGAAGCCGACACCGGGAACCATAAGAAGGACGAGGGCAGCGCAGGTCATAATCCAGGCAAAGTCGCCGCTCTATAATAGAAGAACATTTAGTATTTTTCTTTATCGTAAACTATACTTTCCTCTTTCCTCCCACTAATTCTTTTTAATAATGATCGTACCTCGTAAAATTGATTGAGATCTGTGACGCCGGTAGTATATCCGGCGTCAGCATCTCCGACGGTGCCATTGTACGGCGTAACGTACAAACTGGCAGACATTGCTGATATCGCTGCGAATGAGGAGGCCAGCCACTACGTGGAACAGAAAAAGCGATATCGAATATCCTCCCTCGATGAGACACACGTCTCAGAAAGCCGGGTGTTCGCGATATTACTTTTTTTTTTTTTGACGACGGAATAAGACACGACGAAGGGAGAGAAGAAGAAATAAAAAAAAGTCAAGTCTTGCTACCAGAGGATGCCCAGTGGCGGGTGCCAGTGTCTAAATACGGCTCAGCTCATTTAGGTACTCACGGTTCGGGGAGCCTCCCTCGATTGGCAAGACATGTTTATTTGATTATTTGATGTATATGTTATGTACACTACATGCGTCACTTCGATTGTTATCTGTACTCCGTACATGTAACAGGAGGGGAACAGGTACAAGGGAATCAGTCCATTTGCGTTGCTTGTACGACCCATGCGACATGAAAGAAACAAGGACGTCCCGAAACCAAGGTTCTTTGTTCTTAAGATATGTGCGATATCGTACCTAAGTTCAGCTCTAAACGAATAGAGATATCAACCCCCCCCTGACTGATGCCTTCGACAGTCATTTTAAAAGGACTATTGATAGGAGGTAGCTAGTGGAGTTACTGATAAGGACCCGAGAAGACGGTGGGCTTCTTCATAGGTACTAACCTTGCTATTCTTGGCATCATGACTAGGAGGGGGGGTCCACGGGGTGACCTTACAGATAGGCGACCGAATACATTAATATCTAGCTGCGTGGCCGGAGTATCACCACTAAAATGAGAAGACAAAGTAGCAGTAGGATTCTTCCATGTAGTCTTTAAAAGAAGTCATGGGTCTGTGGCGTTCTTGGGCTTTGAATTGCCAAGATGTGAGAAACGACAACTTGTATCGTTTCCGGGAATGCAGCCGTATTTTTAATGTAAAAACTGTCTGTCTTGACGGTAGGATGTCATTTAGGTATTATTATTATTGAGATCGCATTGTCTGCATAGCGACATACAATCAGAGATATAATCTATGGCACTTTAGATGGTTAAAAAGATTCAGTCTTATCAAATGTTTCTAATTCAATGCTTAAATAGAAAAAAGTATAAATACACTGACAACTGGAAGCTGTCTCCTATCACCATCACTTATTCGAATCGGTACTACACGGAGACTTTCCGTTCAGGGCTACGCTGTATGTCTTAGAATCGGGGAACACGGCAACAGTACCTAACCTACCAATGCAGATTCGCATGAAATGTGTACCTGTACATCATTAAAGATGGGCACATTGTACTATGTAGCTACCACGTGGTTTCATAACGAAGGAAGCCTCGGCGAAAATCTACGGTTGTCTAAGACAATTTAAAAGGCGACGAACATTTTGATCTATCTTTGAAATACGGGAATATGCGAATACGTGAATTACGGTGTGGCAATATGTAGAAGAAGGATAAAGTCGGTCTACGAGTCGTGGCGGCGGTCTTATTGGATGCGCTTTCAAGTTGGTGAATAAAAAAAAGGTAACTTAGAACTCGAAAGTCGAAAGGTCATTTGTTAAATCCCTGAAATTGAAGCAAACAATTGAGGTAATAAGCGAGAATATTTTTTTTTTTGGATTGTCGGATCCGAACAGCGTTCTCTCATTGACCCATCACAATAAAACCCATATGCTAAAATATTTCGCTATTTAAAGACATGCTCGCGAATTCATAAGAAGGCTATCCTAGACTTCATCTATATCGGGATCATGTCGGGCGGTCAAGACGTGACGTTGGTAGCACAGCTCGAACATCAAGGGTCGATCATTTTCTTGGCTTCGTAGGGTGTAAAAGAAGATCCGTTGGAGAGTAGAACGAACTAAAAAAAAAAAGCCATCTATGAAATAGTCCTAAAGATAGATGAATCATCCCTTACCTAGTTTCGCTAGCAATATAGTCGGGCGCTTTCTGAATACCAAAGGTGCATAATTCATTGAATATGTATGTTAAGGTATGTACCTATCAAAGGCTTCTAGAAGCAAAACAGATCATTATTTTCTTCAGCCATATCTACCAATTCAGCCGGTAACAAACGTAATAATCAGCTTAGACAACAGATTAGATACCATAGGAACAAGATGGGATCGGGCCAAGGCATTGCCAAGAATGGTGCCCAGAGATAAGGAAATACGTTGTCCAATAGCAACGTTCCATTTTCTCCAAACGGATGCTCGGTCCCCTGTCGTCCCATATCTGAAGCTAACGGCAGGGCTGCTAATCAGCGGAGAGCGATGCTTAAGCTGGAGTTTCCCCGATCCTTTTGTATCATCTCCGCGTCGCGTTTAGCGACTCTATGCGTACAGTAACGTTAAAGTGCCAGGTAAAATTTGATAAAGTGCCAACCCATCCACTTTCCACGTGACATAAGCCATACAAAGCCACAACGCCATAATGAAATAATAAAATAAAAAAATATTTATTAAATTTTAGTTATATATATAAATAATTTTACGAATAAATATAAATGGTAGGCCATTTTTTAATAAAACTATAATTAATTAATTTTTTTAAAATAAATATATTAACAAATTTTTAATCTATTAATTTATTTATAATTAAGTTTAAAACTAATTATATAAATTAATAATTGATTATAATAGGCTACGCCTACCATAACCTCTTTTTTTAAAAAATTTAAAAACGTTTTTATTTTTTTAATCTTTAATTTTTTTTTTTTTTTTTATTTTTATTTTTATTTTTTTTTTTCAATATTTCCTATTAACTAATATTTTTATAATATTACTAAATATAATAATTTAGATTAAAATTAATTTTACCAATAATAATTTTATAAATATAAATTTAATTAAAAATAACTTTTAAATTTTTTTTAAATTTTTAATAAAAGATTTTTACATTTAATATAACTTATTTAAAATTTTAATAAATTTAATAAAAATATTTATTAACATTATAATCTATTATTTTATTTTTTTATTATTTTTTTCCGCTAATTTTCTATTTTTCGATAATTTTACCATTTATTTTTTTAATTCTTTTACTTTAATTTTTATTTTATTTTTTTTTAACTTTCTTTATTAAACGTTATTATTAAATTACGTTATTTTATCAAATTTACTAAATTTTATTATTTTATTAAATTTTAAAATAAATTTAATTCTTTTGTTAAATTTTAAAATTAACGTTTTAATTTTTTATACAATTTCTTTATTTTTTTCTATAAATTTATTTTATTTAAAATTATCGATTTAAATAAATTAATTTTGAATTAAATCTTTAAATTTTTTTTTAATTTTTCCAAATTTTTTAACAATTTTTATTTCTTTAACTTTTTTAACGTTAATTTATTTAACTTTTTTTAACATATTTTATACGCTAATAAAAACTTTATAATATTTTAATTAAAACTTAAGAATATTTTTAAATTTTATTAAATTAAATTATATAAAATTAGTTTTTATTAAAAAAATTTTTATTTAATTTAATAAAATTTTAAACCTTATTTTATTATTTTTATATATTTTTAAAATTTTAATAACTTTTTATTTTAAAAATTTAAAATTTGCCATTTTAATATATTTATAATTATTAACTTTTTTATACGCTTATATTTTTATTAAAATTTTTTTAATATTATTATATAAATTAATTTCTAATAATTACTAATTTTTTTTAATAATTATTAAATATTCCAATATTTTATATAAATTATAATTTCTTTAAGATTTATAATTTAAAATAATTTTTATTTAATAATCTTTAATAATTTTTACTTTTTAAATAATAATTTTATTATATACTTCAAATTTATCTTAAATATATTTACAGCCACAATTTTCCTAATTTACAATTTTAAATTTTTATTAAAATATAAAAATAACCTTATAAATCTTATCTTTTATATATACTTCATATACCAATTTCTATTATTACTTAATTATTTTAAATAGTTATTTATAATCCTAATTTTTTTCCAAAATTCTTTTCGCTAAATTTTTTAATTTAGTAGCGTTAACCATTTCAATTTATAATAATTATAAAAAAAGTTAAAATAATAAATAAAAAAAAAATAAAAATTATTATATAAAGATATTTTCGTAAAGAAAAATTTAAAAAAAAATAAATATAGCATAAAAAATTAAAAAAAAAAATAGTAATTATTTAATAAAAATAATTTCGTAAAAAAATTTGAAATAATAAATAAAATTGCAATAATAAATTTAAAAAAAAATAAAAATTATTAAATAAAAATAATTTATTAAATTTATAATAATAAATTTAAAAAAAAATAGTAATTATTTAATAAAAATAATCTTGCAAAAAAATTTAAAATAATAAATAAAATTATAATAATAAACTTAAAAAAAAATAAAAATTATTAAATAAAAATAATTTTATAAAAAAATTAAAATAATTTTAATAAAATAAAATTATTAAATATTTATTAATTTAATACATTGCATTTAATTAGTATTTATATTTGTAAATTTATTTTAGGTATTATTTATATTAATTTTTAATCTTACAATATTATTATACTATTTAATTTAATTTCTTTATTTTTTTTTATAAATATTTTTACTTTTATTTAAAAAATTTTTTTATCGAATTTTTTTATTAATTTAATTATATTTTACATAAGCAATTTTTGTGGATATTATTAATTATCTTTAAAGTTGTAACCTTTTTATTTTACCAAATATTTTAAAACTAATTTTAATTTTACTTTATTTACTTTTTGTTTTATAAAAATTTATATTTTAAATAATAATAGATTATCTATATTATTATTAATAAAAATTTGGTTAAATTTCAATTTTCTTTTTTTAAAAAAATTTACTTTTTTAAAAATTAATATTAAATAAGTTATTAATATTATTTAATATATTTTTTAATATTATAAAAAATTTAATTTATAAATTAAATTACCTATTTTTTTTATTATTATAAAAGGTTTAATTTTTTATTAAAACTATTTTTTTTCCGGTTTTTTAAGTAAATAATATTTTTTATATAAGTGTAAAAATATTTTTTTAC